TTATATCATCAAAGTAACTGCAAGCGAAATTAATTTTATTTTTTGTTAATATTCGTCTAATTGTTCTGTTAAAAATTGCAGGAGCATTTTTGAAACCAAAAGGGAGTCTTAACCATTCGAATAATCCAAAATTCGTGCAAAAAGCTAATTTCTCAGTATCTGCAGGGTGAATCGGGATATGCCAGAAACCAGATCTCAAATCAATTGTAGAAAATACTTTTGCTTTACTTAATTTGTCTAACAAAGTGTCAATGCGAGGAAGAGGGTTTGCATCTGTTTTAGCCAGGGAATTCAATTTTCGATAATCTATACACAATCTAGTTTTCTTACCTTCCTCACGTTTAAGTACTAAAGTCACGGGGGACGAATATGGGCTACAACTTTCTTTAATTATACCTGCTTGTAATAATTGATCAATTTGGGTCTTAATTTCCTCTTCTTCCATAGGGGATGTTCTATAAGGTCTTAATGATACAGGCAAATCAGAATTTAAATTAATTCGTTGAGGTTCAATATTAATTTTTCCTACATCATACTTATTTTTAGAAAACACAGATGAATAATCATTTAACAATTTTTCCAAGTTATACTCTTTGTTATCGACAGTATTAGAAACAGCATTTTTCACATAAATGTTAGACTGAGAAACTAATTCCTTTGGATTTGTAGTCCGAGATTTACAGGTTGGAAAATTTCTTACATCATCATCATTATTAACACATGGATAAACATTTGTTGTACCACCTTGAAGTTGGAGGTGTAGAGATATGGGTCGGCTGTCAAAATGGCAGTCATCATTAAGTACAATAGCTCTCTGTTTAATTTTTAAATTAGTACAATCAATACTCAACTCAAATAATTTGCATTCATAAAGTCCTAAAATTACATAATTCAAATTATTATCAAGAACAAACAAGGTAATTTGGTTACTAATCCGTCCAATTTTCATTTGTATACAACATATTTTGTTGAAGATTATTTTTCCTTTAGTTTTGGGTTACTGAAAATGATCTAACTCTTTGTACTTTTAAACGTAATTGTCTAGCTGTTTTGGAAGAAATTATTGATATGGTGGCACCACTGTCTACAACACACTCTAGACGTTTCTTATTGGACAAATATCCCGACACCTTTAATAGTCAACTACTGTGAGGGGTTTCTGGGGTTGGTTCTATTGCAAGGGGCGTAACATTAGGTGTATCAGATCTCTCCCCTCTGAAAGGACAAACCTGAAACCAGTGAAAAGCATTTGGGATTCCGTTCCGGGTGCAAAGTCTACAGGGACTGGGTGGCAATGGCAATCTATTTTGAGAATTATAATTATGATGGCTTGTAAATCCTGGACCACTGAACCGATTATAAAAATTACTTGGTCTCTGAAAACGTTGGAAATTGTTGGGTCTAGGAGAATCTTGTCTCACAGTAGTTTCTGAAGCTGAAATTCTACTTCTATTAAATCGATTGTAATCTTGGGGACTGTTCCCAATCGGAGTAACAAATCTGGGAGGTGCACTTTTGATTTGTTGATTTTCGCTAATCTTAATAAGCTTATGGACATGAGTAAGCCAAGAGATGGGGTCAGAGGGTGCGTTGATCGTCATTAAGGATTTTAATTCTATAGGAAGGCCATCCGTCAGACCCTCCAAGATCATTTCATGAGTTAGATTTAATTTTTTACCAATATCTAATTTTTTGCGAAAATATTGCGTTATGTCCTCTTTATGATTGTACTTGTAATTGGCAAAATCACCAAACGTAGTTAAAGTGGGGTCGAAAAAATTTTCCTTTAAAATTTGGACTAATTCCACATATTTAGTAATTTTATGGCAGTTTTTGACATATACGCTAAGTGCATTACCTTTTAGATATCGAGCTACATTATTAAGCTTCCACGTTTCATCTTTATCTAAATGAGTTTTGTTAAAGTACTCAAGCCATGAATTTATATCCATATCATTCTGCGCGTCAAAGGGAATTATACTTGTTTCAGGTTCAGCGCTAGCTGCCCTTAATGAATCATCAGGATCAGAGAGGTTTTCATTAGCCATTATTCTTTTAATAATACTTTCATAAATAAAACTAATAATACTTTCATAAATAAAACTAAAAACTCAAAAATAATACTCTTTAAATTTTCCCAAACACAATAAAACCAAAATACATTTAAAATAACTTTTTAAAAATTTTCAAAATAAAAAACACTATTATTAAATCAGTAATTATAATTCAATAGTAATAATATCATTTGCATCGCCAATCTTTTTACTAATTGCTTCTGTTTGACTTATTGTGACGAGAATACGAGTGATGAAATCGACACGAAAATACACATTTTTGTGCACTCTTGATTAGATTTTCGCAAAACACACGATCAATCACCACACAAGCACAAAGCTCTCGAGAGCAACAACACAGAACGGCGTAGACGTAGGGAAAGATTTCCATCCTCAAAAGTAGGTCAACGGTAAGAGCACATTTGATGAACGACGAACTTTCGATGGAAACACAGATCACGCATCACAGGGGGCAGAAGGGATGCTTCTCTGGACGTAAAATAACATGCTTCTCTGGACGTAAAATAAGATGCTTCTCTGGACGTAAATAATCTGCAGAATACCAGAATATAGTAACAGAAGGATGATTCTCTTGAAGCAAGAACGCCTAGAGAAAATGTAGAAACATAGAAGTCGCACAGCGGCAAATTCATCTAAAGTGCGTAAAATTTTATCCGTATAATCCTTGGGGTATCTTCTTTTTTAGATAATCCCTTTGAAGGTGGTATCCTACCGGCTTTCTGAAATGTAATTTCTCATACATTATTTGTTTTGTGCAGCCGGGGCAACAGGAATGAGACAAATTTTGGAATATAAAGTGGTAGGTTTATTTTAGCATCCATCTCACAAGCGTTCTCCTCGTACCTTGAGCAGAAGCCCTACTTATACATATGTGTGCGTCACGAGGCTCCTCCAATCAGCGATATTAATTGAAATCACGAGGTGACGCTATCTTCTCATCAGGAGTGTTCTTAAGGACTTTATGTAATATGACAGATTTATGAGTTTGGCGATTTGGCGGGCGCCAACAGGTTAATATATTTTATACTAAAGAAAGGATTTCGCCAAAATTTAGGAACAGGGATGCAATTTAGGTAGAGAATCGCCAACACGTTATTAAGCAATATTATTAGAATTTAATTTAATCAATTGATTTAAAAATATCATTACATATATATATATATCAATATATCATTAAAACATATTACAGCAAGATACCCAAACTACTCACTTGAAAGGTTCACTATAGAATCATTAACACACACACTTCCACTTGATGTGTTGTCAAGAAACTTGCGTATTATATCAGATTTCTTTGAATAAACATTCAATGTCAGTGGCTTGTCTCTACACAAAAATAATCAAAAACTTTCACTGCACTTTATTGCTATTTTCCTCATAAAGTTAAAAAAAAATGATTCATTTTATTAAAGGAATGGTAGAATGTTTTAGATGTTTCATACGCTATTAAATGCAAATAAATAAATTTGTAATTATTTAAAATAAATGATCAAACAAGCACGACTTACCTCTCCTAAATCAAAAATTTATTAGAACATGAAAAAATATTGCTCCAATAAATTTTTCATGAAAAATACTAGATTAAATAACTAAATTTTAGAAGAAAGAGAATTTCAAAAAAATTAAGAAACATCTGCACTTTCTCATCATGAACAATTAATCTTAATTCCGATTTAATTGTTATCACTCACTTACAGGTTTTTAAAGAAATTTCACATAATTATAAATGGATTTACTTTTCAAAACATGTAAAACTTTTTAACTTAAGATTATTATACTTGAGCATTCACATAACTAACCAGTGAAATAACCCTCAATTTGATTCTATTATTAAACAAGCCAATTGTTGTATTAAATAATTAATAATTATAATATACTAAAAGATATAATTAAATAACTGTCAATTATTTAATATAATTATTAACAAGTTTTGCATTAAATTTATATATTTTTTCTTTATTTTTATTTTGAATTGAGCGAAAAAAATCAAATTTTTAACTTTTCATAACACATAAATATACTGAATAGCCAGTCATCAAATCTTGTTAGCTACTTGGTGACAATAAAGCACACATGGTGACCTCAAAAAGATGTAAATCTGCTCCAACAGAACTAGAGTTATCAATCACAAATCACATTGCTTTGTGATCTTATCATGAGTAAAGTCTGAGACTTAAGTGAACTCAGCAAACAATAAATTGTCATGGCCTCGAAAGCATTTCAGAAATCGCCAAGCTGAAACCGCCGGTTGACTGTTTGCATGCTGCCGTAGCTAGTATCCGTGGAAAGGGACGTACTCAAAGTGAAACCAACAGCAGACATCAAGATTCTGGCCAACCATTCCTCAGCAAAGTTAAAGGCTTGTTAAAATGTAGCCCATTACATTGCTAAGTTGGTCATTGATTTTAATACAGGCCAAAGCACAAGTGTTTCAGATCCCACAATACAGGAGATGGATTCGGGACTCTGTTACTGCCAACTCACCATGGTTTCATTAATTGCTGACAGTACATCGCTGTTGTTCCTACTTGCAGCGGGCATGTGAGCATTATTACTGGATCACTGAAAAGTGGAAATGTATTGCTTGGTCAGATGAAACCTTATTTCTCCTGTATCATGTTAATGGCAAGATCAGAATTTATTGGTTGGCAGGGAAACAGCAGCTGTATCAATCTATGAAAGGTATAACTTAGGTCAGTGGTGGCTTAATTATATAGTGGGAGATGTTTACATGGTCAGCCATATTTCCTACGGTCATCACAGACATAGCCATGAAAGTTGTGAATTACATGAATGTTGCTGTGAATCTATTATATCTATTCATGCAATCTGTTTTTCCAAATGGAAATGGACAGTATTCCCTGCACATTCCCAGTATTCCCTTCCTACACAACAGTATTCCCTGCCACAAGGCTAAGATTGTGTCCACATGGTTTCAGAAGCATGCCTCAGAGTTCAGACAGACCTCTGCTTGTGCATTCAGCTCATGTTTAACCACAGTAGCTGTTGTTTGAGGAAGAGTACACCAAAAATGTCTTACTTAAGTGGTTATAATTTTTTTGGCTCTGCAGCCATTACAATACAATTTTAAACAGACTACCACACAAATAAATGTCTCCATTTCATTACTAGTCTATGAAATTATTAGTCACTATGAGATACTAATATTTATCAGTATGATGTGCAAAAAGATGCAAAATGTATTTATTTGAAGGCTGTACAAGAAAACAGCTTTCAAATAAATACACTTTGCAAGGAAACAGCCACATGAAATCAAGACTAAAAGCGAATATAATTTTTTAAACAAATCTATTCATCTAACAAAGTTTTACATCAATAAATTTAATTCTGAAAATAAGTAGAGATTTGCATTCTGCTAAACTGGCACCTTAAATTTAGTAATCTAACTTTAACTTAATTATAGCACATGAAACTATTTACTTATTATGTTTTTTTTAACTATATTAAAATTAACTTCAGAGAAGTCAATATGATACGGTTACTGACAAAATTTATAGCCACTTAGAAATAAACATGTTACTTATATTACACTCTTTATGAATTAATTATACATAAATTATACTACATACTTGCTATTTATAATATCTATAGCTTCTTCAGGACCATCAACTGTGATTATAGGAAGCAAAGGCCCAAATATCTAGAAAACAAACATAATAAATGAAATGTCCCTAAAAATAATTAATGATAAGTAATAAAAAAAAGCTTTATACTTCCTGTAATGCATAGAAAAAAAAAAGAAAGTCAAATGACCACATTAAAATCCTTTAACAAAATAATAATAATAATTACTTTATCTATGAGAATCATGATTCGGTATGAAAGTCGGTTATTTCGTTTTCTTAAGTTTGATGAGCAAGAACTACCACTTTGAATTTAAGCCACAAATTTCATTCATATTTTTAAATGCAAAATTCGGGTGGGACTTAGTATTAAAGCAAATGTTTTAACAACTTGTTTCTGCTCTGCTCCCTAACAATCAATTCAAAATTTATTGACTTAAATTCAAGCATTTTTTACTCTTTATTATTAATTTTCTAATTTTAAAAGCCTGTACTTAAATTCAAGGGTGGATATTTTTGGTATTTTTTTTTTTTTAATTTGCAATTTTAAAACCCTATTTAAATTCAAAGTATATCTTCATTACCTATAACCTTGCTTTTTAGATTAACTACATAAAAATGTGAACAGTTATAGTTTATATTCCAACAAATGACACATATACAGAAATACTTGAAAATTACAGACCTCACCTATTTAAACAAAAAATGACAGAAAGGGTTAAAATATGTCATTTCTTTAAAAGGCACAGGTTCTAAATCTTAATTCCTCACAACAGAGGAAAACATACATATGAGAGCTTATATATCTCATATATTATTAAAGATTCATGCAAAAAAAAAAAAAAAAAAAAAAAAAGGGGGGGGGGAGGGGAGAATAAATTAAAACTTTAATAAAAAAATCTACAATTCCTTTACAAAAGAAATTAGTTTTGCCATTTTAAAATTGAATCTTTCAGAAATATAATAAAAGAAAACAACTAAGAAAGAAACAGAACAAAAGTTTATAAATGTTATTGTCTAAAGTTTAAAACAGACAGCTGCAGTAATAATATTTTACAAGACAGACATTCTATCAACATGTTTCTCTTCCATTTGATTTCAACTTGGCTTTCTTGAGAAATCATTTCATGGAATGTTCATGCTTCTTATGCAGCAGTTTCCAGATTTCAGATAAATTTGGTGTCAGACATGTGGCATTCATTAAGAGTATGCAGAAGATCTGAAGCTTAAAGCTGATATTCAAACAGTGCAACTTGACTGGTTGCTAAAATTTTCAGTACTGATTCAATATGCTTTATCTATACTTCTAATAGTGCTAACAGTCTACTAATAGTGCTTGTTTATACTGTTCACAACAAATCTACCACGAAACCAAAATTATTTTTTCGATTGGGTTATATTAGCCTTATTTGATACATAGAAGATGATTTACTTGTTCAGAATTCAAAAACATTTCAAGTTGTATTTAGTATTATAATTCCCTATTTTAGTTTGCTTGAAAACTCATCCAAAAAACACTTATTTAAGTCTGACGGCCAAATTAAGGAAATCATTAATAATTAATTTAAATTTAGTTTTGAATATTAAATCTCTCTGAACACACACACACACACAAAAAAAAAAAAAAAAAAAAAAAAAAAAAAAAACTGAATTTGGACAATGAATCTTTTGCCACATATATACAACTTGCAGGTTAAATGTTGTTTGAATGATCTAAATGCAGTACTTATTATTATTATTATATATGTGGGAGTTATCAACGTCCAATGCTGAATTAGAATACCAGAATTATGACGTCATCAGTATACCATCACAGCCCAGCGCAGTAAGAATCATCCCAGACAGCGCTGAGACCTGGTCGAGAGTGGAGGGCAGACGTGAGCATACGGCTCACACGTCTTCAAGAGTTTATGAACTTAGATTATGCTTTCGATGTTATGCCTTTACATCATTATGTTAATCCTGCATACCGTTAACTTCATCTTTATATACTTTTCTTAATTACTTTTATTTCTTCCTATTAAATAAACCATTTAAATATTACTTCGTGCTCTCATGCTGTGAATTAAGTCAAATTCTACAAAAAAAATGGCGACCAATCGTGCGGCCTCGAATTCCAAAAATGTGCGAGTAGTAGAACTGTCCTTTGAACTACTGAGTGAAAGTTATTCGATTTATTGGATTACTCGTATAAAGTGTGGATTACCCAATTGACGACTATCATCTGTCGGGTGAGTATAAAACTTTCTTTCCAATATGAAGTTAATAGAAATTCCAGAATTGGAAGCAGCTTTAAAGAACCGTAAAAGTTCTGAAATCAAAAGTTTGCATAAGCTTATTTTTAATACTGATGGAGACCGAAATAACCGGAAAAGATTACGTGAATTTTCTGGCTTTATATTTAAACCAGATTCTGAAGAATTTAATAAGAAAATAGATACAGTGCAGAATAGTTTTACTTTGAATGAGTTAATTAAAGTTTGCAATGTACTTGTGCATAAATTCAGAAGGTTTAAAAACGGAAGTCGTAACCCGAATTGTCTCTTTCCTATGTGATTTATCTGTATTATTTGAAAATATTTTGCATGAAGAAAATAGTGATATTGAAGATGAAAATATTAATAAAATTTCTGAAGTAATGCTTGATGATAATCAAAGAGACAATCCTGGTTTTAATGAGTCTCAAGTAAATAACAGTATGCAGCTTCCAATTCAATATCATTTTAAACCTTAGTTTTTCTGATATTGAAAGTATTGTTAATCCTTTTTCTGGTAATGCATATGAAAATGTTGATAAATGGATTGATGAATTTGAAGATGTTATAAACTCTTTGAAATTAAGTGATTTGCATAAATTAGTTTTTGCTAAAAGATCATTAAAAGGTAAAGCGAAACTATTTATTCAGAGTGAACCTAAAGTTAATGATTGGTGTAAGTTAAAAAAGCTTTTGAAATCTGAATATGGTAAAGCTTTTAATTCTGCTGAGTTGCATGAAATGTTATGTAAGCGTAAATTAATGCCTAATGAATCTTTAGATGAGTATTTTTTGAAAATGAAAGAAATGTGTTCGCGAGGTAACATTGAAGATGCTTCATTAATTAAATATGTTATTGATGGTATTCCCGATTCGGTGGTTAGGAAAACTATACTGTATGGTTGTGAAACAATATCTGAATTTAAACAAAGGCTTAAAATTTATGATAAAATGAGATCGGACAATGATAAGTTTAAAAATCCGAAACCGAAAGTAGACACTCAGGTTAAAGATAGAAGTAAGCTTTCGTCATCAAACCAAAATCAATATAATGTTAATAAGGTCAAATGTTTTAATTGCCAGGAATTTGGGCATTATTCTAAGCATTGTGTAAACAAATCAAAGGGTATAAAATGTAAGAAGTTCGGGCATTATTCAACGAACTGTCCAGAGCAGACCCCCGAGACACAACAAGCAGCTTTATTACAACGAATTTGTGACAAGGATAGAATTATGAAGACTGTAGAAATAAATAATCATTTAGTTGATAGTTTAGTTGACACTGGTTCAGATGTAATGATATGCAGCGTAGAGTTACACAAGCAGATTGGTTCTCCTAATTTAAATTGTAGCGATATCATATTAAACGGAATTGAATCAAAGCAAACATACCCCATCGGCTTTTTCATTTCTGATATTTCAATTGATAGTTTTTCACTGCGTACGAAAATTTATGTTGTTAAGTCATTATGTAATCAAATAGTATTAGGTTTGGATGTATTGAATCAGTTTAACTTCTCTTTTACCGAGAATGGCCTTCAAATAATTTCTCATCAGAATAAAAGTAATGTAAACTTGATAACTGCTGAGTCATATCGAAATTCTAACGTTCGTTTCGTTGTGTTATGGGAAATTTGAATATTGCTGTCTCATTGAAGAATGTTTATGATCCTTCGCAATCGTCTGGCGTCTCTGTTAATGTAAACAAAAGTCCCGAAAGCGGAAGTAGTGCGACGTTTAATTACCTTTCACATCTGGTGAATGCTATTTCTGTCAACGAGATTGATTTATCGCATATTTCAAATGCAGAACATAAAGAAAGACTGTGTAATTTAATTAATTCGTACCAGCCTCGGAAAAATAGACAATCTGACAAAAAATTGTTGACGATCAAATTAAGGAATGGTTGAAAGAGGGCATAATAAAGCCTAGCAATTCTAATTATTCGGCGCCTATTGTTTTGTGTAACAAGTGTAATAATTCGAAACGTTTATGTATAGATTATCGGAAATTGAATAAGAAGATTATTAAAGACAAATTTCCACTGCCTTTAATTCCGGAAGTACTTGATCGCTTAGAACAATCAAAAGTTTTTCACGACACTAGATTTGAAAAATGGCTTTTTCCATATAGACATAGACGAAAATTGTACCAAATATACCGCATTTGTAACACATAATGGTATCTACGAATTTCTTAAAGCTCCTTTTGGTTTATGTATTAGTCCAAATGTTTTTCAGAGGTATACTTATTCAGTATTTCGTGACTTGTTAAATGAAGGTGTACTAATTATTTATATGGATGATATAGTCATACCGGCTAATGATGAAGTTGAATGTTTAGACAAATTAGAAAGAGTACTCAAAACTGCTTCGGAGTATGGGTTACAAATAAATTTCAAAAAGTGCCAATTCTTAAAACGTAAAATTGAATTTTTGGGACATGTAATTGAAAACGGAACTATTCGACCATCGCCTTCCAAAACTGTTGCTGTTCGAAACTTTCCACAACCGCGTAACTGTAAACAACTACAAAGCTTTTTAGGACTAACAGGTTATTTTCGTAAATTCATTCCTCAGTATGCTAAAATAGCTAAACCTCTTAATGACTTGCTTAGAAAACATATTGGTTTTAAGTTTGATTCCGAACAACAGGAAGCGTTTTGCAGATTAAAAGAAATTCTCTCTCAGGCACCTGTTCTACACATATTTAGGCAAGGATATCCATTAGAACTTCATACTGATGCTAGTAGTCAAGGTTTTGATGCGGTATTACTCCAATTGTCTGATGATGGTAATTATCACCCAATCCAGTATATGAGTAAGAAGACTTCACCGCAGCAAGAGAAACTCTGTAGTTACGAATTAGAAGCCCTTGCAGTAATAGAAGCTCTGAAGAAATTTCGAAACTATTTGTTAGGGACTAAATTCAAAATTGTAACTGATTGTAGCGCTTTTCAGAAAACTTTAGATAAGAAAGATTTAACTCCTAAGATTGCGAGATGGGCAATGTTTATTGAAGAATTCGATTATGAAATTGTACATCGTTCAGGAAGCCAAATGAAACATGCTGATGCTTTAAGTAGAAATGCTCTAATTTTAACATCATACACATCCGATGTAACTGAGAAGATTCGGTTAGCACAACAACAGAATGAAGATGAACATGTGAAATTGATAAAGAATTTAGTTGAGAAGGGAGAAGAAAATGGATTCTTCGTGAGAAATGATATTTTGTACAAATTTGAAAACGGTAAAGATCTTCTAGTAGTGCCAGAATCCCTACAGAATGAAATCATACAGAAGGTACATAAAAAAGGTCACTTTGCTGTAGATAAAACTGTGAATGCTGTAGAGCAAGAATTCTATATTCCCAGACTGAAATGCAAAGTTGAAAAAGTAATTGCTAACTGTATAGAATGTATACTGTACAACAAGAAGCAAGGAAAAGCAGAAGGATTTCTTCATCCTGTACCGAAAGAAAACGTTCCCTTGAGTACGTATCATATCGACTTTATTGGACCTCTTCCATCAACGAAACAAGAGATACCAACACATTCTAACTGTTGTCGACGCTTTTACGAAATTTACTTGGTTCTATCCAGTGAAATCACCAACTACGCAAGAAGTTATTTCAAAATTGAAGCAACAACAGACTGTATTTGGAAATCCAGCCAGAATCATTTCAGATCGAGGTAGTGCCTTTACATCGAAAGAATTTTTAGCTTATTGTACTGAAGAAGGAATAGAACATGTCAAAATTACTACCGGTATTCCAAGAGGTAACGGACAAATTGAGCGAATTCATAGAATTTTGATTCCTGTTTTGTCAAAATTATCACATGAAGATTCAACGAAATGGTTTAAGTATGTTTCAGATGTCCAGAGGATAATCAACAGTACAACTATGAGAAGTACGAAATATTCACCGTTTGAGCTTCTCATAGGCACGAAAATGAAGAATAAAGAAGATTTGAGAATTAGTGAGATATTGAATGAAGAATATCTAAAACAATTGATGCAAGAACGTGATGAAATGAGAGAAGATGCGAAAAACAACATTTTGAGGATTCAAGAAGAGAATCGAAAACAATTTAACAAGAAACGTAAGAAACCGAAACAAGATTGGCGACTTGGTAGCCATTCAGAGAACTCAATATGGGACTTGTTTGAAACTACGACCTAAGTTTCATGGACCGTATAAAATCATAATAAAATCATAGCTGTTCGATCAAATGATAGCATATGAAGTTTGCGAGAAAAGTAGGATGCCATGAAGGACCGAATTTGACATCTACTGCGGCTGACCATATGAAAGCCATAGGTCAAATTGATTCAATGCTTTGTATCAGCTCAAACCTAAGGACCTGATACTCTCTTTTTTTCTTTTTTTTATTCTCTTTGCAGGTATATCATCATGATAGTGATGTCCATTCAACAGACATCGAGGACGATGCCTCTTCAGGCTGGCCGAAGCTGTGGGAGTCATCAACGTCCAATGCTGAATTAGAATACCAGGATTATGACGTCATCAGTATACCATCACAGCCCAGCGCAGTAAGAATCATCCCAGACAGCGCTGAGACCTGGTCGAGAATTTAATGTGGTAAACGAGATTTCACACGTCTTCAAGAGTTTATGAACTTAGATTGTGCTTTCGATGTTATGCCTTTACATCATTATGTTAATCCTGCATACCGTTAACTTCATCTTTATATACTTTTCTTAATTACTTTTATTTCTTCCTATTAAATAAACCATTTAAATATTACTTCGTGCTCTCATGCTGTGAATTAAGTCAAATTCTACATATATGTGGCACATAAACAAAGAAACAAAACTCTACTGTACTTTTATTAGGAGAGCAAAGCATACTAATTGTTGAGAATTATGAATATCACCTATCTACAAAAGTATTACATATATATGTTAGAAATAAAACATGGGGGGGGGACCTACTAACTAAAATTTGGGCAATATATATATTTTTTTAATCCTCCATTTTAATTTGAAAGATTTGATAAGAAAATTAAAAAACTACTAAACTTCTTGTTGCCTTTATTTACAATATAATATGAGCCAAGAGTTAGATATTTCATATTTTAAAACTAATGCACAAAATATCAATTATAAGGGGGGGGGATAGAGAAAACATCTGGAAGGCTAATAATAGCAAATACTAATACTACACCAAATATGATCACATGATCAAACTTGCCATAAATGTGTTAATATTTTTTTAACAATATGCTTACCTCTTCTTGCATGATAGGATCTGACACTTGTACATTTTTTATGACTGTAGGAGAAATATATTTGATCGACTCATCATGGTCACCGCCTATGACTACATCGCCATTCTTCATTAGTGACAATAAACGGCTGAATAAAAAGATAAAAATGAAGTTAGACAGAAATACAGAATACTGAAAAATGACACTCCGTAATATCACACAACATTAAAAAATAAATAAATTTTATCAGTATTTATTTTTACAGGGTGGTCCAAAAGAATTTGAAATCTTATAAATACTGAAAAGACTATCACAGTGGAGAGAAGTTTAGCATGCATCAGAATCACAACAGAACAGAAATGATTCAATAAAGGGAATTCAAATGTTTACACATAGAGGGCATAATATCAGCAATGGGTATGAGCAGAAAAGCACTAAAAACAAATACTGAATAGATTCTTCTGCTGGCTCATACACTGAATAATTACCTTTTGTAGCAAACAACTTTACCACATTAAATAAATTATTTTAAAATGATTCTTTGATTGTGATTAGTTTTATCACTATGGTATAATGCTTTCGATGAGTACAGCTTCCCCAAGACCTCTCTGTGCAAATTCTTTTTGCGTAAATTATAAGCTATTGTATACAACCGTTAAGATTTTTCAGTCTTTGAATCAGTTTTCATGTACTTCTGGATGTTATTCTATTAAAATACACAATCTGTATAATATGCAAATATATTATTTGATGTATTTATATGAGTAATAATAAATATAAGTCTATAACAGTGCAACTCTTTATAATTAACTGACATCAGGTATCATTTGATGAAAAGTTATTATTTATAGCATGTGTTTAAGCATTGCAAAAAACCAAATGCTTTGCTTTTTCTAATTAATAATTACTCAAAAAACTTTGTTTTCAGCAGAACTGTGCAAAGCTTCCCAACTGTGTGCATCCTGGATATGTAATTCTCTAACTAACATAAAGCACTGTACTTTCAATGGTACAGCTTAGTGAAGATTATTCTGCTGCATATCTCCAAACCTAAAAACTTCCATAAATGATTAAACAAATGCTCCAGAATATTTTAAATGAAACATGCACATTGCATGATAAACCTGCAAGCCAAAGCTTGCCAAAATATTAAAATTTATTAACTCCTTTACATGCTATTCTGAAATATTAAATTATATATTATATTTCTGAATTCTCTATAAATGCTAACAAGTTTACAAAGAATAAACTACCAATGCAATAATGAATTTATGTTACAGCACTGTAAAAATTTGAAGTTTTATTCAGAAAATTACAGAAGAAATAAAGAATACTCACTGAAAATGTTTTTCATTTATGATTCTTCCAAAATCTGGAGAACTTTTAGGATCATCACCATAAAACTCTTTTAACACACTTTTCATAGTAGGTATTAATTCTTCTAGCACACTTTTAGTACACATTAAATAATCTGGTGCAACACATGTCTGGCCTGCATTTATTAGTTTGCCCCAAAGTAATCTCCTGCAAGCTACTTCTAAGTTAACAGAATCATCTAAGTATACAGGACTGTAAACAGAAAAAATAAAACAAATTACTAAAGAAAATAGCAAAAACATTAAAATTCTGATCTGGCTACTTATTAACAATGATTATATATTTTCAAATACACGGAAACAAAATAAAATAAATAGTTCAAAATATTTCACTCTAGGTTTCTGAAAGAGAAAACAAATACCTCCCACAACTTTTACTGTATTTCTTCCTAAGATCATTTTAACTTCAAAATTCAAACTGATTTTAGACCCAACAAAACTATTTATGATAATAATTTTAAATAACACACTAAAAATTCTTTAAATTATAAACATGAGCAATATAGTAATATTTTTAATTAAAATGGTAATTATGAATGAATGAGGCATGTAAATGGTAAAATCATATTAATCATATTAAAATCATATTAAAAACAACTACTCAAATATCTTTTCAATACAAAGGATTGGTCTACAAGCAGCTTTGCTAGCTGAACTGCCCTAAAAAGTGAAATTAAAGGTTTTGTGCATAAATTATAAATCATGCATTAACTTCTGCTTTTTTTGTTCATTAAACTATTCCAGAACTACTACATAAATTTAAAAATTAGCTTTATGATTTCATAAACTACTAAATTAAATATAATTACTCTCAATTTCAGAAATGAAATAATCATAAAATCATACTGACAAAGACACACTTTCTATGAATTACTAGTAAGTATCACTAAAATTTACAATATAATTATTGCTAAAACAAAATTATAACCAAAGCTGTAAAAGGCTAACAAAGAAAAAAAGAGTGATAAATAATTTTCTCATCAGTCATTTTCTCATAATTATCATTACTTATTTTAATGATTCATACTAATAGCTACAAACTTTGGATAATTTTTTTGAAAAAACATCTATAATTTCATGTAAAAAAATTATACAGAATTCCATAAGTTAGTAATTTGTTCCATAAGTTAGCTTTTGAGTTTAATATGAGTTAATATGTTAGCTTTCTGCAATAAGTTAGCCCTCGAACATTAATTACATGAATCTTAAAACCTTAAATTTAGCCTTCTTCAAACTTATTCAAGATAACATAATAACATTTGTAACATATATATAAATAAATCTACATAGAGATATCTTTGAAAAATTTAAAAACATTTATAAAAAATACATTAGCATAAAAAAGGTTTACATTAATACAGTAAGAAATATACAGTAAATAAAAATACAAAATATTGCAATATATTAAGGAATTATAAAAAGCAAATATATTGCTCAATATCAAAGAAATAAACTTACGATTTCCCACCTAACTCTAACGTAACAGGAGTCAAATGCTTATTTGCAGCTTCACGAACAAGTTGCCCAACACGGGTAGAGCCTGTGTAAAATATATAGTCAAACTCCTCTTTTAGCATATCAGCAGTTTCTTCAGGACCACCAGTAAAACATGATAGCATTCCTATGCAATGAGTTAATGCATTTTAGAAGCAAACTACAGATAATATTTCACTGATTTTTTTTTCGGGGGGGGGCAGTTTTTAATTTTACAGATGTTAAAATATAATGTCTAAAATAATGGATACTTTCTGATTATCCCCACTGCCACCAAAAATAAACTCACTAGCTGACTTTTGGTGCATTCACGAACTTGGTAGCGACTAAGTTTTTGCCAAGCAACAGCATTTTTCAAAATGGTTTCAGAATTTTACTAAGAATTCCATAAAAGAACAATAAATCAAAAATTAAAAAAGCAAATTACATCAACAATAAAACATTTATTTTCCTGTTAAAAAAAAACTAATTAAGCAACTAATTAATTCTACCTGGGGGGGGAAGGTTTTATGCACATATAAAAAAAATCAGAGTTTAATTAAGCACACCAATTCATTCTACCTTGAGAGGAAAATCAGTATGTTTTCCGCACATAACCGGGCTGCCATATGAGTACTTTTTGATGATACGTTACTATTTTGGTGACAGACTACTTTTGATACATGAATACTTTTTAACAACATTTTGGTTAGGGTGTGGATAATCAGAATAAATTAAATAATGTTTAAGGCTTAATGTTTAATTTATTAGTAATATTTATAAGACAAATAAATTGCTTTATAAAATCCCAGAAAAAACCAATCTGTTAAAGATACACACACACACATAAAAAAAAATCTAGATTATCAGCTTCATATTTGAGAATTTTTGAAGTTTCATAAAAATGTAAAAAATAATTTTGTGCTTTCCTTCAAACAAATGCTCATAAAAAATATACAGTTTGCTAAATACCGTATTTTTTTACATAGTTTGATTTCTAAATAAAGATTTTAAAATGAAATATATTCTTATTTTGTGTCTCAAATGCTACAGCCATACTAGAGCAGGTCACACAATAATTAAAAAAAAAAAAAAAAAAAAAAAAAAAAAAAAAAAAAAAAGCTGTTTTACAAGAGAATGGAAAAGGGTTAATAAGCTTTTCATTCATAAATATCATAAATACATTTGTATCTCCTTATACTTAATTGCCATTTTTTCTACCACATACAACATTTTGCATATATATGCATTAAGCTACCACATATAACACTTTTGTGATGTACAGTTATCTTTTATTAAATGGTAAAATTTAAGAAAAGACACTTTTTGGCAAACTGTAGCTTTATCAATGATATATTTCACACTTTAAAAATTACGTTTGCATTTTAAAGTTATGTTCATACATTTTGCCTTATTAGATATAATATAGATATAATACATTTCAAAGATATTAGATATACTCACTTCAAAGATATAATACATATTCAAAGAGAGGAAGGTTGTCACACTTATTAAATAAAGACTTTTAAGTTTTATTTAATTGCCATACGGAATAAGAAGTTTATAAAATCTGCCCAATAAATAACTGAAATGAGGAAAAGTATACTTACAGGATCAAGATATTGTGGTATAAGAGTTTTCATAAGTTCAGCTGTTTTTGAAGACAGTTCTGATGGTTTCAAAATAACACAATTTCCTGCTGTAATTGCACCAACCACTGGGCTCAGAGACAGTTGAATAGGATAATTCCATGCTCCAAGAATAAAAACCACACCATATGGCTCACTTTGAACAAAAGTTTCATCCAGTAAGGTAATGAAGTTTTTCTCTGACTAAAATATAATTTACAACTATTAACTTTAAAGCTTGATTTTAAAATAAAAAGCAATAATTTCTCATATTCATTCATACTTGGAACAAGAACCGAAACATTATACAAGTGCATTGCAATGCAATTTAAAAAATAAATAAATAAATTAAAGATATCTATCTAATAAGTATTTTAAACGTTTAGATATATCTTTTATTTTTTAAATTTAAGTGTTTTAAAAGCTTTACAGGATTACAAATGAAACTGGATTAGTTAATGTATAAATACACATCATTCATAGTTCACATTCAAAGAATTAAAAAAATAGCAACCTCTGCCACCTCTGCTTTTTTTTGAGGGGGGGGGGAGGAAAAGGATTTTAAGAAAACTGTTTGTTAAATTTCATGTTTATGCAAAACAGTGATGTTTGCAGCTTTTATATACAGTTTTACAAAAAGAGCAATTTTTTAGATTTAAAGTAATTTTCAATAATTAGGAAATTCCAACCTCTATTTAATGTTAATTTCAATAAAAAAGAGAATGCATTTTAATGATTGGCTGATTATGTAGTAATGGCAAAGTTAAGAGATCTGATACCTGCATGAAGGAGTATGTAATATCAGCTCATATTATACATGAGCATATATTTCAAAGAACACTATTTTCTTCAGAAGCAATAATTATTCTATGCAGCCATCCTAGTTATTCAATAAGCTTAAAGACACTGGTACTAAAAGTTCTCCGTCTATGATCAAAGCACTAAACTTTCTCATTTTTCATAATGTAGTCAGACTACTTATAACTAAAATTACTGTAAAATAAAGATAGCATTTTTCACTTATTAAAGACAGCATGCAACTCTCATTTCCATTAAAACAAGAATTTAATAGTGAAATTTTTTAAGTTTCTTTAATTTTATTAAACAAAACCTTTTTAAAACCTAGTTCTAGACTAGATTGCTTTTTACACTGTACACGATTATATACATTCATTTCATACCAAAATTTCATTTTCAACCCGACGGTTGTGTGTGTAAGTACTGTGTGTCGATTGCAAAAGAGTGACGTGACTGGTGCAGCTGGTCATACCTCTTGAGGTTGAACAGGTTGTCCCACCCTTTCGATACAGAAGAGGATGTCCCACCCTTTCAATACATCATGATTTTCCTCCAGAGCATTGGAGTTAAATGAAATAGAAGCAAACCAACAGAAAAATGTTTATGTAAAAGTGATGTTTACATTTAGAACCATTGTACATTGATAACTGTTGGAAAATATAGCTTATTTTAAACCTTTTACTGCATCATCTCTCCTCCTTGAAATATTTATTTAGTTTAGTCTTTATTTTAATATAACATAGTAGTTACTTCTACTTTTCTTTTCTTGCTGCCACTGTTTGCATTGAAAACGGACTGTCTCAACCTAATTGAGATGCAAAAACGAAACAACGTTACGTCATCTGAAAAGCCGATTCGTGCCGATAGCTGATTGGTTGCCGTGAGATGATGTCATTCCTACTTCTGCTATAAGTATCTCGTGTCGCTCTTTCTAGCCCCTTCCAAAGGATGCCTGCAGTCCGGTGAAGGAATGCCTTGATTCCGGTTTACAAGATGATGGTTCCAGATTGAAGTTCTTCATTTCCGGGGGCTGTCCTGTGAGTGACTGCCGTAGGCAGCGTCCGTGTTTCTTCAAGGAGGGTGGAATTAAAAATATGTGAGCGGCAACGATTCTTTGTGCAAACGGCGTTAGGCCGGTTTTAAGTGGTTTCACATTTAAATTTTTCAGGTGTTTTCTTGACCATTGATTATGGACTTATGGAATAGGTAGCCTGCTTTATTTTTAGGCGGCATGGTCACTATTTAGGACTTTTTCATTTTTTTTATGAAATTTGTTTGTGTAGAATGCCAGTATTTTGGAGTACAGGTAAAAATATTTGATGAATGATGATTATGTTATGTTTTGCCTATTACTCTAATATTGTTGAAATTTATTTTATGTGTTTTTATTTTTATTATATTGTTAATAAATTGGTTAAGTTCAAAATCTTTTACTTGTCTTCAATGTCTGCACAGCATAACTCAGAGAGCTTTCATTGCTAATACTGCTAAATGTTTAATATCTTTAAACTTTGCTTTAGCATCATTTTGGTTATGGGCCCAGTAGCTCCTGAGTTATTTTTTAGTGCAGACTTTTGAAGTTTAAAGTTAGTTTAGGACTTAAGAGATTGGGGGGCGGTTTTTGTTAAAATTCAAATATGGCTACTGTTAGTGTCATGCATAATATTGCTAAACTTGATGCATGTAATTATTTTACATGGTCCAAAGATATGAAATTTGTCTTGAATGAAAAAAATGCATGGCTTTTGGTCAAAGGTGTTGAGAAAAGTCCTGATTTAGATGATGTTAAGGGTATTGCAAAAGAAATTATTGCCGACTTTCAAAATAGAAGTCGATTGGCATTATCGTTAATTTATATGAATGTAAGCCCTGAATATAGAAACTTGATATGTGAAATTGATGACCCAGTAGTGGCATGGAATACGCTTGCCAAATATTTCCAGCCAGATTATAGGTCAAGACATATGTCCCTGTTTTCAGAGTTCTTAAATTGCAAAATCAAGCCAAATGAAAGTATTAGTTTCTTTTCTTCTAGATTAAAACGAGTAACTGAACAGTTAGCTGATATTAATCAGGCTGTAAGAGACTTATATATATGTTTCCAGTTTCTTAGGTTTCTTCCAGATAAATTTGATCAAGTAGTTCAGAATATTTTGAGGTGGCCAGATGAAAAGTTCATTTTTAAAAATGTTGAACTTGAAATTCTAGCAGAGGAAACGCGTCTTAATTTAAGAGAGATGGATAGGGAAAACTCCAATAAGACTATAGAAGTTCAAAGTACTCACTGTGAACCCAAATTTAAGCAGATTAAAGGGCTCAAGTGTTATAAATGTGGCCGTCCAGGTCATATTCAAAAATACTGTAGAATGAGAGGTAATTTTTTCAGATCACCCTCACCTGCTTCTTCTGTTTCCTCAGCTGTATCTAGTAGTAATAAAACATCTTCTAAGTGTAAGAATAAACCCAAGTTGAGTAAAAGTAAAAATTCCCATGCACAGTCCCATTTTATAGCTCAAGCCAATGTTAACAATTTGGAAGAAAATGATGATAGTTGGATTTTTGATACGGCAGCATCTCATCATTTTTGTAAAAATCGTGAATTGTTTGATACTTTTTTCTCCTGTGAAAAATGAGAATATGCTAGTAGCTATTGATGGGGGTAACTTTTCCAATTCATGGGAAGGGTACTGTTAAAATGAAATTTGGGGATACGGTTATTTTGCTTAAAGATGTGTTATATTCACCTGAACTAAGACGAAATTTAATATCTGGACCTAGGGTGGATATCAATGGAGCAAGATTTTATGGTAAAAATGGGCAAATTAAAGTTACTGATGATGAGAATTCAACTTTGTACAAGGCTAAGTTGATAGGAAGTAACTATCATGTGTTCCCGAAAATAATCAAAAAGGGGGGCAAATCTGTAAAATTTGAGGCATCCGCAGTTCAGAATAATAACAGTGAATTATGGCATGGTCGGTTTGGTCATATAAATTATGATACTATTGTCAGGACTAGTAAGAGACATTCAGTTCGAGGTCTTCCTGTGTTAAAGCACTCACCTAATTTGTTTTGTGAACATTGCCAAATCAATAAGCAAAGACGAATCTCCTATAGACCTTTAGAAGGTATTCAAGTAAAGAGACCGCTTGAAAGGGTTTTCTCTGATGTATGGGGACCTATTAACATTCCAGGTAGGAATGGTGAACGTTATTTCGTTTCCTTTATTGACGAATATTCTCGTTATGTGGTAGTGTACCCCATTGTGGAGAAAAGTCAGGTGTTTGAAGTATTTGAAAGGCATATAGCACGTGCAGAAAGATCTTTGAACCTTAAGTTGAAATACTTTAGGACTGACAATGGGCGAGAATATGATAATGATCAATTCAGGTCATATTGTAATAAAAATGGTGTAAAGCACGAATTTACAGATGTCTATACTCCAGAACAGAATGGAGTTTGTGAGAGATTTAATCAAACAGCTCTAAATAATGTACGTGCAATCTTACACGATAGTGGAATGAGTTCTGAATTTTGGTCAGATGCAGTAATGTATTTTGCATATTCATTTAATAGAATTTGTCATAAGGGCCAAGATAGAACCCCATTCGAATTATACACTAAGCGGAAACCATCAGTACGTCATCTTAAGGCATTTGGAACGATTGCCTATGTGGGAATTCCAAAGGCTAAAAGAAATTCTAAACTCCGATCCAAAGGCAACAAAGGGCCGATTGATTGGGGTACAGTGTACGAACAAAAGAGTACAAAATTTGGTTGGAAAATGAACAAAAGGTAGTGGAAACCCTAAATGCTACTTTTAAAGAGTCGATTGGAATGCAGAAAAGTGGCAGTGGAGCTGCACTGGGCACCCTACCTGATTTGGAATCTGAAGAAAGGGTAGAGTTCCAATCTACTGACACTCCAGTTGGCTATTTTCCTGAAATAGAAGAAAGAACCGATACCAATGTACCTTCTTCTACAATTGGCACTGATACTCAATCTACATTGAGACAAGTAACTTGGCTTCGTAAACCTGTTCCAAGGCCAGACGGCACTCGTACGGATGTGTATTATTTTGAGAGGGGGTGTAATCAAAGACTATACGATCACCACCAATGATGTAGAAAGGTATTGCACTGAACATAATATTCAGTATGATCCTACCTTGTTTGATTTCAAGGGAAGCAATACTTATAGTGGTGAAATCGACCCAACTGGTACTCCTTCAACGTCGTATACCCGAGATAGCTGACTAGATGTTTCAATTCCAAACACTTATAACCAGGCAATGAAATCTGCAGAAAAGCTTAAATGGATAGAGGCAATGGAAGAGGAAATGGCCAACATGCGAAAGCATAAGGTATGGCATCTTGTTCCACTTCCTAAAGACAAGACTCCACTAG